GAGTAACTAATAATGTGTGTGACACTCATGTATACGCATGATTTACTGCAATAGTGTTTATTTTACATGTGCATTATTTCACTCAGGGAAGTTGTCACTGACCAAAAAGAAGCAACGTATTATTCTGGATGTGTTTAAGTCGAACTTGAAGGCCATCACGAATTTTGCCGTAAACATCACGTACAAAAAAAAAAAAAAAAAAAAAAAAAAAAAAGAGCCGCAACAAAGCGTTTTTTTTTTTTTTTTTACACCACAGTTTGTGTTGCTGTCATCTTTACTTTCTGTTAGTACAGGGAGAGACAGATCCAGAGCTGTCATAATCCTTCATACCAGTAGAAAAACTGTGTTCTTCAGTTCTATCGTTTGTGCCATGACAAATTCAAAATTTCACTGTTAGAAACAGATATATAACAATGACACGTTTTAGAAGCATGCCATACCCGCAATAGTGTGTGATTGTGTTATTTTAGATTTGTCCTAAAACATTAGCCGGTAGAAATTAGGGCTCTAGTCGCTCTAATTTTGTGATGTACTCTGACCTTCGGATTTCTTCCGGCCTGCCCTAACAGAGCGAATACAATAACAGCCAGAAAATTTCCTGTAACCAGAATTTTCCTTGCAACTTTTGGTTTTCATTTGATGTATATAATGACATTTTATAAGGGTTCACAAGAACAGCTTGAAATATCTGGAACAAAGTTACGGGTACATACCAGACATGCTCCACCTCAAACGCTGTTCCAGATGTCAATGCATGAAACACCGTTTCACACAACATTCTTGTTACTATGTGGAACAGCTTTCCTGATGTCAGTATGTGGGACGCTGTTTTATATACCACCTTCACAATTTATTTGAAACGCTGTTCTGCATAAACTAAGAGGTAGTAGGAACACAGTTTCCTTTTTTGTTGCAAAAAAGTTCCAGTTATTAACTGGAATCTAAGTGGAACGAGATTAAGAGTGTAGTCGCCGACAGGATGAAAATGGCAGGTCGTTTCTTTCCGACGCCTCCAGCACGCGCAACTTTTTTGTTGTGCTTTAACTGCGCGTGCGCACTCGAGACCCACAAGACGCTAATGCGTTAGCGAAGTATAGACCAACACGCGGCTCTGACGTCACTCCTCTGCGGTGGCGCTGTTGTCGCCACGGCGCATGCGCAGAAGCTTCACCACACACGAATCTGGTTTGGGCGCTTGCGCAGTGCCCACACCTGGTGTGGGCAAGTACGGGCTTGTTTGTAAACAGTGTGTCGGTCTATACGACGAAGCTCCCGTTGGAGGCGGGACAACGGAATTACTTTCCTGCCGCTCTAACCCTGTCAGCGACGTTCGGCGTAGACCTGGAATAACGCGACATAAGCCACTCTGCAAGAGCACGCTCAGCTCGCTCCTTTAACATCAGCATTCAGCAGCGTTTCATGAATACATTGACGCATCTAGAGTACTCGACAGCTGTCGTTGGAAACGCTGCCTGGTAGGCGTCGATAAAAGTCACGTGCTTCGCTTCGACACCGGGTATTCATTCGCAGAGTCTATGGCCGCAGGTATCGGCGTGCGCTCTCTACTAACCTTGTTCGCTCACCCTCGCCCTCATTCACATGGTTCTAGAATAGGGCATGGGAGACTAGAATATAATAAGACATTTCAGCCCGAAAAAAAAACAAAAAAACAGGCAAAACAAAAGCGAGTGTTAAAGGTGAACACCTCAATGGCGTGGTGAGAGCAAAACGATATGTTTTCGCCCATACAGAAAGTACCGTCATTCAAGATGGCGACGGCCACGTGGAGTAGATGCATACGTGGCGCACTTGAAAGCTGTAAAGCGATATTTGTTATCTAGCGCTACCTGAGGTTTTTTAAGTTGGACACTCCACGAGGAAGACGGCTAGGTCGCCAACTGTCGCCATTGGCCAGCCCCACGCTGCGATTGGCGAGCGGCAAGGTGCAAGCGCCGCGCTGACCAAACCGCAGTGATCGGCGGTGTGTCCAACTTACAGCCCTTCTTTGTGACCGCTGGTTTTCCAGCTCAGCAGAATGCAAGTACCTACAGCCTTTGCAATCCCAACGATGTACTTTTAATCCAGAACTTCACTCATTTTGGTCCGCAATTAATGCCATCAAGATTCAAGAAAGAAAAGGGGGTCGCGAAACGGACATATCTACTGAAGTGATTTGTGACTTTTAAGCACCCTAGTCTTATCCAAAAAATTTAATTATAACAGGTTAGCAACAGCCATTCGTTCATTCACAGCATAAGAATGCAGGTATTAAAATGAATGACTTTTGGACTAAAGTGAACGGCGATGGATTTAAATTGGTGGCCTTCGAAGTAAATTGGTGGGCATCCGAATTGCATTGGTGACAACTTGGATTAAATAGGATAATACCTGGAATAACTTCACGGACATTAGGATTAACTTGGATTATTATGAACAGGAAAACCTGTAGTTTAGCACCACTCGAGAGGGTCTTTAACTTTCCCTTTTCTCGTCATAATTCAGCGAACCACCCTCTATGAAAACGTTAAAAAAAAAAAAAAAAAAAAGCGGTGAGACTTTTGTTTTGTTCGTCTCTTAACAATGCTAGATAGCGGCGCCCGAAACAAAGCGGAAACGCCGAGCCACTCTCTCTCCCCCCGCGCATTGCCAAAACACTGGTGCACAGACATACGCCCACGAAAAAGGAAGTTCTCGAAAACAACCCATTGTCAAAGGAAGAGCGGCGTCAGGAAATCTGAGGTGAAAAGAGACCGAACGACGCTGGCACGTCTCGACGTTCAACGTTTACTGCGCTCGCCGTCCAAAAAGAGAAAAAAAAAAAAAAAAAAAAAGAACATATACGACGGAGAATACGCGCGATCCCAGACAGCCTGTTTTGCTGTCAAGTTCCCAAAGGAAAAGCAAAAAAGAAAGAAATACTCTCGTTCGCTGTTTACGGAGTGCGCCACGCCGCTCGAACGAGGTGAAAGGAGAAAAAAAAACAGCAGCTTTGTCCGTAATATTGTATACCGCATCTTCCGACCTCTAACGCGCGCAAACTAAAATGAAAAAATAAAAAGTTGAAAATCTTTAAGTGAGAAAAGTGAGAAAGAAGGTTTGCGCCAAGAGCAGCGAAATACTCGATTCACCTCTAAGCTGACAGTGCGGTGGGAGCTACGCGCTCTCCGTACTAATGAGCCGCCTCCCATTCATCACCGGTCCCCTTCCTCGCGTGTGGTTATGAGCGAGAGCGTGATCACGTGGGGTCAGGGAGCCGTACGGCTGGGCCCTCGAGCCCGTAGCTTTCACGGCATTCTCAGCTTGGGGATGAGCGGAGCGCAACAGCTTCCGCTTTCACGCTTCGCTCCTGCGAAGCATCGATGAAGCCGATCCGCACGACTGGCGTGGGGCTTCGGTGCAGCACATGCCTGTAGAGCGACGAAGCCTGTCGCCCTGGACAGGGAATGAATGCACCGCGAAGAGGGTTGACCTAAACGCCATTTAGAGATCATGTTGTTGTTTTCCTCCCCGTGAAGCTTTGTCGTGTGCTCGATATGTGATAGTTTTCTGGCTTTTGTGTTTAGCGTATTGTATAGCGAAACCGCATATCGTATCGGCCGTTTCGTAGGGCAAGTTTCAGAGTTTCTTCGGACAGCCGAAGAAACCTCGGACTCATTATGTTCACGCGTCTTGCTTCCTCATTGGCTGTTCGGCGCCTGCATCGGCTAATGCGGCCCTCTCATTGGCCGCGGAGCGCTAATAAGATTCTCGGGGCTCGCCACACCCTGCGCTTCTTAAGCTCTATAAGTGACTCGTAATACAGTGCGATACTTGCTTCGCTGCTGTGCACGTCGCATTCTCCGGGTAGGATCGTACTCGTGATTCGCTGGTGTCCTTCTGCTGTTTGCAATGGCATCGCAAGACTGCGGCATTGAAACGTGCTTAAGGGATGTTTTCTTTTTTTTTTTTTTTTCTTCTTCTTCATCTTTTGGAACCGTACAGCTATGTAAAGTAGTTTTTTTTTTTTTTTTTTTCAGCTGCACAAGACCGAAGCTTTTGTGACTAATTTTTTTTAAAAGAAGTTTTTGTGTTGTAATAAATAATATTTATATTTTATCGCGTCACGAAAGTATTAAGCATTTGCGTAACTTCGTGACCTGTATTCCGTAAAAAAAAAAAAAAAAAGGGCGTCGTTTGTTTATTGCAAACAAATGAAACGACGATTTCGCCTCGACATCTGGCAAGAAGCTTGAAATTTGATTTACCTGCATTCCCTGTACATGTGCAGATTAAAATTTCTTGCCTCCTTTGGTTTGCCCAATATCCAGCTGCGCTTTCCCAAGCCCCAACCAGCTTGATGATGATTGAAGTATTTTGTGATTTACTAAATTATTCTCTTTGCCCTGCGTGGAGGTTTCAGTTTTAAAAAGATACAAAAAGAGTTCGCCTTATTAAACGTCATGACGGTAGCGCCCCACTTAACCATAAGCGTTAATCGCGACCATATAACTACAATTACATCTTATTTGAGTTCGCCCCATTCATCTCGTAATTCTCTCCCCCTCTGCGTTGGTGCGCGCAAGGTATAATGTGGGAACAGCGTACAAGCATTGTATACGAATGCAAGCATTCGTACAATGCAGGTATCCTGTTGGAACAATTACTAGCATTTGTGCCTTCGTGGGCCAGCTCGTTTCTATGTGTCTTTTCTTGTAAAATATTAATCATTATTAATCATGACGCGGTTAAAAATTAAACGATACAGCATAAATGTCCCAATACACGCTGATTAAGGCATGCTCTTGAGCGAGCCAGTAGTGAGTTTTAGTATTGCTTGTACGAGCAAACGCAAGCACTGTGCGTTTGCGTTAGCGTTGCCTATTCCACATATTGCGCGTGCGCGGAGCCCGAACTGCTCCTCGGATTGGAGAATGGCGACGACGCGCATACGGAGCGTGGAGCATGCAACGGTAACGCATGCGCACAGCGCTTGCGTTTGCTCTTATACGCAATACTAAAACACTCCCACGAGTGTTTGCCATCAGTGCAAGATACAGCCTCTTGCCGCCGGGTCGCCGCACGACGACCAAAAACCGGCGGCGAAACCAGTGTCCACTGGTATGGAACGTGACCCGTGATGAGTCCAGCGCGAAGACTCCGCGAAGTTTGCACTTCGCCCACTCGGCAGGTGGTTTGCTTATCTGCTGCGTCCGCCCTGTCTGGGCACCGATACGGCTGACCGCATAAAAAAAGCCCTCACTCAACGGCGGCCACCGACCAGTGCGTTCCCTGCTGCCGTCCAGGTAAGTTCGCTTACCATCTCAGCGCTGGGAAACCGCTATATCTCGACCGCCTACTTGTCCCCCGTCTCCGTTTTGTCCCGCTGTTTACTCCTATAGGGGGTATTCACTGGACGCCATATTTGAGGGCAATGTTTGGAGCGCTTAATAACCTGCCAAGACCGGCAATCTCATGGTGTGGAATGCACATTGCAAAGGTACTGCGGAAGCTCGCCGTCAGCACGCGCTCAGCAGCCGCGTACACAGATATTGCCCGCCAGAGAATACTTCCTCTATAAAAGCGCGTATAAAGACCGTCTAATGTAAAGCAAAACATTTTTTTTTGTTTTTTTTTTTTAGTAATTACGCGAGCGACATTGCACAAACTGCCATTAACATCCTCCTCTTTTCTCCATACCGATCATGGTAACTTCTACGCGAAAACGCACCCGCGTTATTTTGCAAATTAAAAAAATAAAAAAGAAAATGACAAACATATTTTTGTGAAACCGCGACATTCACTGTAATATGTACTTGCTATAAGTCTGTAAAAGCTTTCTCAATTCTGAGGCCGATCCACTCACTGTTCTTCGCTTACCTACCTAGTGCAGTCCGTACGAGGTGCCACTCTTTTGTCTTCACACAATTTTAGAACGTTTTTCGCAGCCCCCATGCCCGGTCCAGAACTCCGTGAACATACGGGAAAGTATACGTGCCCTCCTGTCCATGCACCCCAATACTACCGCAACTATAGTAAAAACAAACAGAGAAAAAAAAAGTGGGCTCGATTGGGAGGGCAGTTGGTGCAGATGATCGCATGACATGTAACCCGCAAAGACAGATCCTTCGATCAAACAGCCCGCGTCACGCACCGCATCGGCAAACTTTCGGAGTCCTCGTTGCGCCCCCTTGACCCTCCCGCGGCGTTCGATGTCGCTTCAGCCGCACGTCTTTCGACAAAAGATGTGGACCCGAGGGTCCTCGACGTCCTCGTTCTGGCGTTGGTCGCAATCGGCGGGCACGAGCGCACGTGGGGGGCGTGTTTTATGTTCGCGGAAAACCGGAGTCTGCTCCGGGGGGCCGCTATCTGAAAGCCTAGCTTTGCACTAGATTTCCACCTGGCCGGAGGCCAAACAACACTCGCTGCGGTTTGATAAACGAGAAGACCGCTGTCCAGCCACTAATTGTAAAGCTTCAAATAATAGTGTTCTCGTCGGCGGAAATAACCCCAGGCAGAGGAAAAACATTTCCTTTCGCCTCGACGTGTGCCTTGTTAATTCTACTATGTGACGCTCGCAGCGTTTATAATCGAAACCGTAACATTTTTCTCAAAGGGTATTCGAGACCTAAGTGAAACTAACTTTAGCGCAATAATGAATTCATCACAATGCACAACTTTCGCCTTCCTTGCATGTTTATTGTTGCACCAAGACAAACTGTGGTCTGCATCGACAACAGTATTTATATATTTTAAGGGGGGGGGGGGGGGGGGCATGAAGTGCGAAAATGAATTGGTCACAATGCACAACCTTCGCTTTTTTGCATTGTTATTGTTGCACCAGGTTAAAGAACAACAATATTTTTTATTTATTTTTATTGGAATTGGGTATGCAATTAGCAAGAATAATTCCTGAGTTCATTGTTGTTTTGGCGGGAAAAATGGGGTGGACGAAAGGGGGGGGGGGGGTGCAGGAAATTACATTTCAAATTACTTAAGTGGTTCACGAAGCACCTGCACCTACCGGCCAACTGCGTGATGAAGTTTTGAATACCCGATCACACGAAGCCTAGTAAAAACATTCCAGCTGCTGCAGTAACCAATTTAGCTTTGAGTATCTGGCAATAGATCAATATTTGAGTCGCCGAATGACATCGTTAAGCTTCAGAAACACTCTACATATCATTGCATAAAATATCTAGTAACTTAAGTTGTACTTTTATTATATGTGACCTCTTGAGGATTAGCGAATCATTTTAACACAAAATTGAGGCGAGGATTCATTTTTCGGAAGAATCATTTTAGGTACTTCAGGGACATTTATACCCGCTTTTACCTCAAGAAAACAAAAGCGTTTTGCGCACTGGTCATACGTGGCGAGAGGTAGTTCTTACGATATTTGGTTGTTGGAGGAAAAAGCGATGCTTTTGCCGTTTGGAACGTGTTCGTCTTGATAGATAGATGAATATATAATTTTATTAGTGCCTGCCAACAGCCAAGTGGCCTGGGCGGCAGTGCACTGTCCAATGAATCAATAGTGAACATAAATGCCTGTCTCTCAAGCAATAAATTCAAACAAAAATGTCATCGTCTAAAAACAAGGCATTATAGGTTTGTTGCAATCCTGTCATCGGACAAATTGATCGGATGTCAGGATCAAAAGTGTCTCGGCAGCTGGATGACCGCCCAGAGGACACACGGAATCTCAAGGCCATCAACAACTCTGAACAGTCAATAGCACCATGCACAGCCTGATGTAAAAAGTGCATATGTCTAGCAATTCTTCTATCATGCAGAGTTAAAAGATTGGGGTCCACCAAAAGAGGGTTGTAGCCGTAAAAGCGGTGACGGCCAATATGTCTATCATATAAGATTCATATAAATCTAATCTGTGATTAAACAAACGAGTTAAAATAGGTGCAATTCGCGCGATCACATATTTCGCGGGTTTTATTTGGATGCCATCAATATCAGACTATTGTTAAGGTTACAAAACAGCTGGCCTCATGAACATCCGTAGGATAAAAGAAGATACTGTCATTTATAAATTTCGAGACATATACAAGTGCTTCATTCACTCTATTGCGGTCATTATTGACTAAGTTAATAAAATAATCATCAAATATGTTGGCTAGTTCAACTCTTACGAGTTCTTCTCCGTTCATTTTTAACGTTTCGATTCTAGAAGAGGCTGACGTTTTTCCTAAAACCGTGTTGAGTTTCTTCCATATACTGGCACTGGCACTTAAGTTGCTGAAAATGTTGAAGTAAGAGTTAGATTTAGGTCGCCTAATTAAGTTTGTTACCTCATTACGACATTTCTTAAAAAGTTGTAATATTTTTGGATATTTTGTACGAACAAATTGCTTAAAACGTCTCTTTCTATTGTTCTTTTTTTTTTTTTGAGAATTTTGGCCGTTACCCAGGGTTTGCGAGAGCCTTTTGGGGCCCGGTGTGTCTTATATTTAAAATTGTTCTTGTAAGTGGTAGTGAATATCATGATAAAGCAGTCATATGCCTCATCAACAGAGTCCATAGAGAATATCGCATCCCAGTTCGCATGTTCGATTTGATACTTAAATCTTTCTAAGGCGGTAAATGTCTTGAAATGTAAATTAAGGAGCATCATTTATGCTTACCTTGGGCAAATTCCGATGCACACAAATATACATGGGTAGATGATCACTGATTGAACAGCCCACAACACCAGTTTGTAACAGTGAGGCATCAACGTTTGTAAGAAACAGATCTATAAGTGTGCTAGAGTTTCAAGTCACACCGAGTAGCGAAATTCATAGTATTAGCAAATCCAAAACCATCAACATACTAAACTCTCTTTTGTTTTGAATCACTTAACATATCAATGTTGAAATCTCCCAAAATTATTCTCAGGCCGTTGTCTCCTAGGAAACAAAATAGGGACTCAATAAATGTAGTAAACTGAGCAATATTACCGCCTGGTGGGCGGTAAAGAACTGAAAACAAAAAGTCGCTATGTTTTAAAGTCAGTATCTCATATCATAGCCTTTATTAATCACAGAAAACTGTTCTATGAGTTCGCACTTGATACTGTTTTTTGCTTGGATACACATACCGCCACCACGTCTATACTCCGCGACAACTTTTCTTGGCAATGCAGTGGAAGCTACAGGCCCGCGTCCCCTCTCCCATTTTGAGTGTACGCAATCTCTCCTCCTCCCCCATTTCCGGGGAGAGGAGGAGAGCCCGCGCACACTCAAAATGGGAGAGGGGACGCGGGCCTGTACCTTCCACTGCATTGCCAAGAAAAGTTGTCGCGGAGGAGTATATAGCAGAGCGATTTAAATAAAATGTTTTGTAGTTCTCCAAGGGTATAACGTCACTTTCTTCATAATACCATGTTTCCGTGAACATTCGAATGTCAAAAGTAAACCCAAAGTTGTTTAGTAAAATACTATGTTCATCCTCTTTATTACGTGCAGATTGTAGGTTAAGATGAAATACACTATATATCTCATGTTCAGTTGTGTTGAATATTTCCATAACATTTTCTGGCACTAAGTAATTTTCGTCAGTCATTTTAACACAAACTCAATTACGAGAAACGATTCAACACTTATTTAATCTTCTCAAGGTCCTCCGCGTGCGTGACTTCCAGTATAGGGGCGTGGTCTGTTTTCCTGGCAAAGATCCTGCGGTTCCGGACCCACACAAACCTCCATTTATGTTCATGCTTTTTTTTTTTTTTTTTTTTTTGCGACTGACATCCCAAGCAGTTGTTCAGCGTCTCGTCGCGTCCGGCTTCGGAATAGGCCGATCTCACCAGCCAGTTTGGCTACGCCACCGCTGCCGCAATGCATTGAGGGAAATTTAGTCTTTTTACACGTGCCGCAACCACGCCGGGGCTCTGCGCGTGCAGAGCATGAAACGGCACGAGCCGTCTCGTGGACTGCCGCCTGTCTACTGTGAACTAAAGCTATGGCAGCCTCACGCATGCGCTGTAGGCTTGGTGCGATCGGTCTGTTGAATGACGATGTTGCTTTCCTTATTTCGTGTGGGCACGCGGTGACAGATTTCTACCTCATTCACTGCTATCGGCGACCCGACAAGGTCGCCGATCTTCTGTACAGTATCTGTCACATTTTCATTTTCTTGTTTCGGAATTCCTCTTATCGCTAGGTTTGCGTTCTTCGAGTACTGTTCACAGTGAACGAGACGCACTTCTGTTTCTTTGATCGCCTGCTACAGCGTTTCATGGGATTGATGCAGACTCGCATTTACCCGCTTAAGCTCTGCGTTTTCCTTTGAGAGCGCCTCAATGTCTTTC